ATGTTTGTGAACTGCATGACTTCGACTAAAAAGTTTTTTTTTATGTATAATCATTGCTTTCACCACAATCCTCAACAAACCGTCATTTAAGGGATATTTCAGATTTTTACACACTGCCTTGTAAACAGAAAACGTGTTCACTCGAAAGTGTGGAGGTATTTATTGGGCAACACATTAACACTTATGTGAGACATACAGTATATTTGTAGAATGATTCCATAATCTCTTTAACGAAGGGTGCTTGTAAATTAAGCTCTAAATCCGTATTAGGTTTGTTCTTGCTTTCAGAGCTGAGACTATCATACAGTGAAGGCTAACTCATGCCTCCTCGGAGATAATGTAAAGCCAAAGCGTCACAGGATGGTGTAACACACTCAGAAGAAAGCACTCCCCACCCTCTTCCACATGCGTGAGCTCACAGATGCCCACGATTGGCTTGTGTCACTGTGATTGACGGGCGAGAAATTATACCATCTCTCCCACCCAGAAAATACGGCCAATTTTGCTCTCTTTGCTCTCTTTGATTTTGAGCTTTGTTTTTAGGGTCATTGTTACAGAAGCCAATCTCTTTTCTATCTCAAGCTTCCGTTTCTTGACTGACTGTGTCACATTTGCTTCCAGAGTTTGCTGATATTTACAGGAATGCATTCTTACATCTCCCTGTGAAACGTTTCCTGTGTCACGGGCCGTTACACAATCCATAATAGATCTGTCTCTAGGCTTAACAGGTGGCAAGGTGCTCTTTTCATCAAATGCTGCTCCTTTTTCCAAACGTATCTTCGGTGACTGTAGCCAAAGAGCTCTTTGAGTTTTTACTTCACCAGTCCACAGCATGTTTTCAAATGCTTCTTTTGTAATGAGGCTGCATGTCTGATGACTCCTCCATGCAGATCACGTTTGCACAAGCAATGCTGCAGAGTAAAACAGTGTACCACCACTTCTGTCTCAGCTAAACCTTTCTGCAGGTACTCAGTGTCATATGAGAGTTTTGCTTTGCCTTTCTGGACAGCATATAGGCAGTTATATCTAAAAGTTTCTTGCCTTGACGTCCACAATTCCCCTTAACTACCATTTCTGAATGACATTTCGGATAGTGGAACGTGGCATCAATTTTCAGATTCTCAGTCAGTTGCTTAGAGAAGCCCATAATTGTTGAGTGTTAGCACAAAGTTTGAAAATTCACTCTGGAATTTTAAATTTTTTTTCCTAATGGCAAATCTTGACCTGCCTAAAGAGTACTAATGAGTCAATTAAGGCCTAACAAGTTAATTACTGAGTTCTGAGCCTTTATAACTGGAAAGATGTCCAAACTTTTGTACATGCCATAAGTACTTTTTTAAATAAAGTAAAGTTGTTGTTTTTTTTTAAATAGTTTGCTGCAGAGCTAACTTCAGAAATCAATACAATATCTAATTTGGCCAGGGTTACCCAGACCTTTGCATACAACTGTATATAAGAACTGCTTCAGTATGACTTCCTCTCACTCCTGTGTAATCCAAAGATTATTATTATTATTAATATATAAGATTATTATTATCTTATTTATTACTAGTGTGTAATGCTTGGTTTGAATTTCTCTTTTATTGATGGAATTCAGTAGTTTTCAGGCTTTATAAGTGAGTTTGGAGCAAACAGGTTTTCTGTTCTTTTCTCAATATAAAGAAAATTCTTGTCCATGGTAATTACACATAAGCTACAAACAATAGGTTACACAAAAGGCCATTGTTTATGTGAACTGTGTCTAAGCAGTGCATAGAGTTATTACCTTTATCAAATTGACAGACGCCTCCTCTTTGTGTATCGCAGTCGTCCCAGGTCCACTCTCCACTGCCAGCGTGAAATGAGACACAGTTCTCATTCTTGGCCACCTGGGAATGCTCTAAAGGAAATGGTGTAATACTGTGAACTTAAATGCAACCAAAAGATTGAATCGGTTGGTCAGTTGATTACTGTTATATAAACATATACAGATCATGAGTTAAGAGACTGAGACGTAAGAGCCTGGAGTGTGTTTGTCATGGGATGGGAATGTATTAGAGACAGTGTTTGCTTTGAAGGGTGGTATTCTAAATTACAGCATGCATGATATATTTACGATCCATTTAGGGCTGAGTTTCCCAGTTACAACTTGGCTCCGTCTATGTATTCATTATGACGTGGGAGAGGACCTCTGCAGCAGTGGAAATATTTATGCACAATGACTTAGAAAAGACAGCAAGGAGTCCAGCATTTAATCCAATTTAAATGGGCCACAATGCCCAAAAAATAACTCACCCAACAGTGCTTTACCTTGACACTGGATGTAGCCCCAGTCAGTCTGTAGAGAAGGTGTCATTTCCAACCCAGATCTGCCCCATCTGAAAAGCAGGCCGGAAGGAATGAGTGAACACTCTTTTTCCATGGTTTGGATTTTGCTGGCATCCAGCACCTGATCCCAAATGTGCAGCTGGGTAATGCTGCCACAGAAGGCCTCGTCACTTTTGAAGGAGCTGCCGAATGAGTCTTGTTCTTGGCCTATGATGAAAATGCCGCCGCCTCTGACGTAGCCTGATGAGTAGAGGGAAATACCGCGTCTAACTTCCTGACCATCCACCGAAATTGCCCACTTGCCACCATTTCCAGTCCAGCTCACACACATGGAGTGCCAGGAGGCATCATTGGCGAAGACTGATAGGTAGGGGCCATGTTTACCGTGCACCAGCAGAGCAAGCTGAATGGGTTCATTTGGCATGACTCTGGCTCGGAGCTGGAACTCCTTAATGAAGGAGCGTATGGAATAAGAAAACACAGTGGAAGGCCCATGGCATGTGGGACTGAACTGAAGGTGAGCGCAAACAGTCACAGCAGCCGTGTCTGAGAAATTGTGCAACAAACGAGCGGACTGAAGTTCACTTCTGTCCAGGAATTGCAGGATTAAGGTATCTTGGAGAACAAATACGGCAGAGAATATTTGTTAGTAACATTAACAGTAATGTTATTTATGTATAATTTCGGCATTTAAGGCCAAGAATACAACGGGACTGAATGAACAAGACTGCATGTTCATTTTACTCATTATACTACTTAGATGAACAGGCAGAGGCTAAAACATCCTCTATATTTGGTTTATATAAAAATTATATTTAAAAAAATGTTCCCTTATAACCAGCATAATACAGGGTTTTTTATGTATATATTTTGTTATATACTATACTAACTACTACTATAAGCTACTATAAGCTACTATAATAGCAATAGTGACAATACAAAAAAAAAAGTCTCGTTTATACACGTGACATAGGAAAATCAAGGAATGTGGTATTTGGAGATCACCCTTTATTTCAGGAGCTCTGTTTGCAATCCACACGGGCTCTGAAATGTTCAAGGACTGTAGAAATTTGGTCAAGTTTTGTTTCTCTCCAGCACTGCGTATGACCGCCAGGGATCCTGATCGCTGAATACACAACTGATTGACTGCATGCCAGTGTAGCCTGGCTGGATGATACTCATAATAAACTTCCTCATTTGGCCATAAAGGTTTGATTTCCACATCAGCGGCAAGAGCTGTCAGAAGAGATCATGTAACGTGGTGAAAACAGCTCCAACTTCAGCATCATGTTGCATTTTTTTCATAACTGACACACCCTGGCTATGAAATTTAACACAAGTACAGTATTCACTTGTTGGAGAAGTGGCTGGAATAGTTTCAGGGAAAAAAAAAAAACTACAAGGGTGCCTGTGCAGTTACTTGAAGGAAAAGTGAGTAATGAGAAGCCAAAGTGCATGACTAGAATCAGCATGAGGAACAATTAGGCTTGGAAGTGAATGTTAAATTGAATTTCTAAATGATAAGGGAAGGTAATGGCAAATCTCTTTACGTTTTAATATTACCTTTTCCAATGCAGTGCTGAATCAAGACCTATAAAGCACAAAGGGCACATCATCAAGCCCTGAATAACTACTGACATGTTTCTCTAAAGCTTAAAAAGCCTAACGTACTTACAATGACATTAGAGCAGAGAAGTTTCAGTAAGTGCATCCTGTAAAACAGTGCACTGTGTAAAGATGTGTAAGGCAAAACACATTACACCGAACTGTCGACGATTTATTCAGTGTTGGAATAAAACTTCAGTCTGAAAAAGCCCTTAACGTTAGTCTACTCACTGCCCAAACCCTCAGCTGCTAAATAAGTCTGTGCTTCAGAAAAACGCACAGCTGTGTCCTACCTTTTAGCAGAGTCTTCCCTGTGGGAAAAGCAAACAAGCTGTAGAAATGTCCTGTTCTTAAAGTTCTTCTTCTCTGAAGTTTGGAAAGCGCCTCAGAAGAAACTCCGGAGAGGAGAAGAAGAAACCCATCAGCATTAACACACTGTCGCGCTCGAGCTGGAGAGCTGGCGTGCGCGCGCGCGCCAATCCCGCGCGTGAGGCTGCGTATTTGAATGGCCGCAGAGGAGCTCATAAAACAGCAACAACAACAAATACAACAAGAACAACAACAAAAACAACAAGAACAACAGCAAAAACAACAAGAACAACAACAAAACGAACAACAACAGCAACAACAACAACAACAACAGTAACAATAACAGCAACAACAGCAACAAGAACAACAGCAGCAACAACAACAGTAACAACAACAACAGTAACAAGAACAACAGCAACAACAACAACAACAGTAACAAGAACAACAACAGCAACAACAACAGTAACAACAACAACAACAGCAACAACAACAACAACAGTAACAAGAACAACAGCAACAATAACAAGAACAGCAACAACAACAAGAACAACAACAGCAACAACAACAACAACAGTAACAAGAACAACAGCAACAATAACAAGAACAGCAACAACAACAACAACAGTAACAAGAACAACAGCAACAATAACAAGAACAGCAACAACAACAAGAACAACAACAGCAACAACAACAACAGTAACAAGAACAACAACAACAATTTCAGGAATGTCACTATTTTAAATAAAGATACCAGTCTAAAGATATCAGTCCAAACTTAGGACAGTGGTAGCTCAGTGGTTAGGACGTTGGGCTACTGATCAGAAGGTCATGAGTTCAAGCCCCAGCACCGCCAAGCTGCCACTGCTGGGTCCCCTCTTGCAAGGCCCTTAATCCTTAACTGCTCAGTTGTGTAAATAGGATAAATGTACATTGCCCTGGATAAGGGTGTCTGCCAAATGCTATAAATGTAAGTCTATTAAAACATACAAAATATGTAGTAGAAGTACTTACTGAGGTATTATCACTAGAGCAAGGATGTTATTGCTACTTTATTATACATTACACTATATGGCCAAAAGTATGTGGACACCTGACCATCACACCCGTATGTGGTTCTTCTCCAAACTGTTACTACAAAGTTGGAAGCACACAATTGTATAGAAAGTCTCTGTGTGCTATAGCTTTACAGTTTCCCTTCACTGGAACTAAGAGGCTCAAACCTGTTCCAGCGTGACGACGCCCCTGTGCACAAAGCGAGCTCTTTTTCCTGTAGGGGTAGTAGAAGTTCTGATCAGTCTTAGAAAAATGCTCATTTAAATATGTGTATTTGCTAATATGCAAGGTTTCGCTGTTGGTATTCCAACTGGAATGGAAAACATGGTATTAGACCACCTCTAGCAACACTTTCATAATTTAAACTTTTTTCATGTTAGCACCTTTCTTCAAATTAGCTGGCCTTTGCAAAACCCAGACTTTGTGTTCACATAACCATTTCTGTGTTGATGTGGGCCATGTCTCAACCTCCTTGCAGTGAGAATGGCGATTGTTTTCATTTAGTCTAAATATTTTTTAACGGTGCAATTTGCCAACTTTTGCTTCATTTTTAAGATCCAGCAGTAGTCCCACCTTATTCCCAGTGTTCCCAGGACAGAATATAGTCTCTTGGAGTGGGTGGCAATAATTCTGGAGTTACATAAAGTATCGATACGAGATTCAGAATTGATGTGGCATGAATTAACGAAGCAGCTTTCTGACAAATCACACAGTTTCATGACCAGACTAACATGAACGACTACTGAGAGAGAGATTACTCAGTGCAGAAACAGACTTGCAGCTTAATGAAACACACCAGCGCAGCTATCATTAGTGTTTATTATGAAAAATAACACATAACCTATTGAACTACATGATTGCAAAGAAACTGCTATTCACTAATGACAACGTAAAGGGATAAATGTATGACGGGAATCGTAAAACGTTTGTGCAAAGCTGCAAAACAGTGCATACAAAAGTAATAAGTGAGCTGCAGAAATACAAATCATATATATGTATATATATTAAAAAAAAAAAAGGAAATAAAATTCTATTCTAATAATTATTTTTTTGCATTACCAACTGCACCTTATTACTATATCCTTGGTAATATACAAGAAATAAACACCCTTATCTATATTATATATAAACAAGCATATACTCTAAATAAGAAAGGTAATATTCTTCCCTACACGAGAATAAATCACATGTAAAAAAGCATTTCGACGTGTTAGATTTGCACATTTACTATTACAGTATCTCTTCATGGAAAAATGTGCATGTTGGGAAATTTCTTTAGTATTCATACTGGTGCTTAAGCTCTAGCGTAAGGAACGACTCTCCGATACCGGGTTGAGAACAGACAGCTCAAACCCAGCGGACGTCTCTGGAGCACGAGCTGACACCCGAGGACAGCGAGTACACTATTTTAGGAACAGTTCGGTTTCTTGGGTCTTGAGCTGGTTCCTGGATCTCAGCCTTCACAAAGCTCTTGGGTTCGACATTTTCCTCACTGCTCTCATCAAACAGTTCTGCTAGAGAGCATAATGCAGAGTGCAGGTCATCTCGTGCATCCATGACGCTCTTTAGACACGGCAGCTGAAGAGTACCAGCGGGGCAAACATCCGTCTGTCTCGGTAGTCCATGCACAAGGCCACTGATGCTCTTGGTCAGAGCCTGGACTGTTTCTCTGAATGACCGGAGACCAACGTCGCTGCCTCTACCTGTTGAATAATCCACACGCATATGAGGTATTATAAATATTTCAATCTAGTAAAAAGAAAAGATTTAAAGGTACACAGTGATGCACCGGAACAGGAAAACATACCTCTCAGAGTGCGAGACAAGGAGGAGTGAAGCTGCTGGAGAGCGTGGTTCAGCTGAAAGAGCTTGGAGGCCGTGTTTCTCAAACGCTCCAGCTGCACAGCATCGGCTCCCTCTGGATCGTTCTCTGTAGCGTCCGGCTTCTCCTGGAGCAGGAACAAACACACGCACACCCTTAATACTTTTACTGCTGGAGACAGGAAAAAAAATAAGCATTGCACAAATATTACAGATTTATTTATTTTTAACACCATTAACACATTTTCGACCCATTTCGATGCGTCCACGGTCATTCACCAAACTACATAATAAAGCGGGTTGTTCGTCATAAAGTATGTTGTGGTGTAATAGACATTTAAATGAAGCCCACACTCCCTTATCTGAAAAAGGAGCTTCCTCGTCATCTTCTCCTAAGCACGCTGTTTTTCACACACAACGCATTAGCAAACTAACAAGAAAAACAGCAATGACTTTGTTCAGGAGCAAGCAGGAACCGGAAGGTGCCCCCAGATCTTTAAGGTCTGGTGTATGGGAGCATGTCTTATAAGTTACGATGCTGGATCGAAAAAAAAAGGGTGGGTTTAAAATAAATAAATAAATAAATAAATTTAACGCCATGTCAGCATCAAGTGCTATATTCATGGCAGGAGCAAGGTTCTAAATACTGAATGAATTGAAATGGATAAACGAATACATGAGTAGATATACATAAGAAGAGGCACACGAAACTAAATCCGCGAACAATTAAACTACCCCAACTGAATAGAAGATATTTTAAAAAAAGAAAAACAATCTAAAAGGGTAAAGTATTTCACACTGAATTGTGAGAATCACGAGCTCTACTCTGTAGTCTGTGACGCAGTTCACCAAAAGCAGCAATACTAGCATGTCAGCCAGGTGCAAGTGTCCAAAAAAAAAAAAAAAACGACTCATTCTGGTACACAAATAGACCTAATCATGATTAAGTACACAAAACTATTGTTATTTATGTTTTAATCATTTGCCAGCCATCAGCAGGGTTCAAAAGTCTGAGACTAAATTGAAAAACCTGGGATTGTTTGTGTTTTTTTTTTTCATGTAAAATTGGAAATAAACAAAAAGGTTTTAGAATTTTGAAATATTTCAAACAAAAAGTAGATATTTAATATCTGTACTGAAGTGTAAGCAGATGTGTGATCTTGCCCACGTTAACTGCTTTGTACTAAAGGTCAGATTCCCCTCATGTCTAATCTCTTCTACTGAAGCATGTGTTCGGATGAAACTCTGATGGATTTGATCTAAAACGGATCATAAGGCATGTGTGCGTGTCAGCATATATACTGTATTTACATTTGATTGCAAGACTAAGCTCTAACTGGCGAATTCCCAAATTACAGAAAGTCCCTAATGCGTGTTCTAGGTGTATTTGAACGGTTTTTTTTGCTTTCTGTGTGTATTTCTAACAAATGAGGAGTGTTAACTAGAGATCTTGGGCCAATCCCAGCTCGAGTGCACACTGTCGTCAAGGCAAAAAGGAGACGTACCAAATACTAAGAAACTCTGAATTTCGTGTCAATATTTCAAAGACTCTACTTTTCACTGAAGCTGTCGTCAATAATATCATTTGTTACGAAAACTGTTGAATTAAATCAGAAAAGAATGCAAAAGAGAAACATTTTTATTAGTGCTCTCGGTCTTTTTTTACTCCACCGTATCTTAAAAGGTTATTCACACGGTCTGCATAGTCTAGGTAGGCAGATGCACTTAAGATTACGATATCAATTTATAGATGAAAGATAAACTTGGATTTGGTTTTCATATCTGTCCTAACATTTAGCAACTTTAACGGCCATGTAAAATTGGGTATATTGCAATAACGTGATCCTGATACAAGTCTGAGCTCATGTTGCCCACCCCTAACATAAATTGTAAATCTGCTGGATCAAGAACATCTGTCAGGTCTAATCTTTGTGCTCCAGCATCAGAGGGACAAATAATAGAATAATGGCACCCTGCTGAATGTGTACAAAAGGCTGCAGTTTGTGTGCACAAAAACAAAAACGCTAAGGTGATGGATGACATTTGGTTCAACACATGCGTTATCTTAATGACGGCATGGCTGAAAACGGCTACGATAAGCCTCACTAGCGCCGTACATTGCTAATCCGTTATGGGGGAGCGGTCTTCAGTTTAAAGCCTTTCTTTCAGCATCAGACCAATTCATAGCTCTTAATACGTACCGACATGCTGCACTGAATGTAGCCTTGCAAATTATTTGCCACCTCCGCCATTTTCACTTTAAGGTTTCGTAAAATCTGGAAAGCAAAACGGTACATGAGGGACGCACCGAGTACATGAGGCGTACACCGAACATAACCAACGAAACAGCTATGCCGAACATGGATATGAAAAAGTTAGAACATTTCTGCAGTAGGTTAAATAATGAAATGGAGAAAAGGCGAAAATGACCTGGGTTCTGGGTTGAGCTAAGTGAGCATGTCTGAGCATCTCTCGGCTAATAAGGAGAGCCTCCTCCAGAAGAGCTCTCACGCCTCGGCACATTCCCTCCCGCAGACACGCCGCGGCAGACCTCTGAGCAGAAACGGGGACGGAAAGCAAAAATACAACGCAATTATTTACATACGTGGAAAACTATTTGAAAACGTTGTATGCAAAAGGATTAATAGAGCAGAAGACACAAAAAAAACTCGACTCTCTTACAAACAGAACCTCACTTTGCCAACAGCGTCTGATCCGTGTTCAGTCAGACGAAGCTGTGCGCCAGTTACTACTGCCAGGTGAGCGGCGGTGCTCAGAGCGGCATCCGTACTCCTCCCCATCTTCCTCTGGGCCTCTGTCACCATAGAGGAGATTTCAGATTCACAGCCCTGAACAAACAGAATGGACATTGAGTTAAAACTGACTGTTTTTCTTATTATGGTCCTGGTCAAAAATCTGATTTTGGTGTATTCAGTGGAGTTTCATGTATGGATTAATGTCATTCATGGTGAAAATCAT